CCTGGCTCTCACTGCCTGCTCCCTCTCCACTCCCAGGACGTGCAGGTACTGTTCATGCGTTCGGATGGTGGCCTGGCACCCATGGATGCCTTCAACGGCTCCCGAGCTGTGCTCTCGGGCCCTGCTGGGGGTGTGGTTGGCTACTCAGTCACCACTCACCGGGCTGAGGGCGGCCAGCCGGTCATTGGCTTTGACATGGGAGGTATGAGGCCGCGGCTAGGACTGGGGGGTGGCTCAGCCTCCAGGCCAGGCATCCAGGGCTGTAGGTGACGCCCACCCCTCTCCCCCCAGGCACATCCACCGACGTGAGCCGCTATGCTGGCGAGTTTGAACATGTCTTTGAGGCCAGTACGGCCGGTGTCACCCTCCAGGCCCCTCAGCTGGACATCAACACAGTGGCAGCTGGTGGGGGCTCCCGTCTCTTCTTTAGGTCAGCACCTGTCCCCCCCACATCCCCTGCTGAGACCCCTGGCCCCACCTTCTCCCTGCCTCCGATTCTAGTCCTTCCTTTTTCCAAGGTCGGGCCTCTTTGTGGTTGGGCCTGAGTCGGCTGGAGCCCACCCCGGCCCTGCCTGCTACCGAAAAGGTAAGAGCCCGTGCCTGCTCCACCAGGCCTGCCCGGCTCTCTGCGTGGGGCCCTGACTTTGTGGACACCCATCCCTTAGCCCGTCCCACTGCCCACCCTGTGCCCACCTTCAGGGGGTCCTGTGACGGTCACGGACGCTAACCTGGTCCTGGGTCGCCTGCTGCCTTCCTCCTTCCCCTGCATCTTTGGGCCGGGAGAGGACCAGCCTCTGTCCCCCGAGGCCTCTCGCAAGGCCCTGGAAGCTGTGGCCACCGAGGTCAACAGCTTCCTGGCCAATGGACCTTGCCCAGCCTCCCCGCTGAGCCTGGAGGAGGTGGCCATGGGGTTTGTGCGTGTCGCCAACGAGGCCATGTGCCGGCCCATCCGAGCGCTCACGCAGGTACTCCTCACCCCTTCACGGCAGCCTCGTGGGCCAGGGGCTGGCAGGGCAGGCAGTGTGTAGTGGAGGAGGCCACTAACCCTCACTGTCCGTAGGCTCGGGGCCACGACCCCTCGGCTCATGTGCTGGCCTGCTTCGGGGGTGCCGGCGGGCAGCACGCCTGCGCCATCGCCCGGGCCCTGGGCATGGACACTGTGCACATCCACAGGTGTGGCTGGGGGGTGCGATTGTACACGCCGGTCCTGGGGTGGAGCACCATACAGCCGTGCGTCATCCTGGCCACCCTGCTCCCCGCAGGCACAGCGGGCTGCTGTCGGCCCTGGGGCTGGCCCTGGCGGATGTGGTGCATGAGGCCCAGGAGCCCTGCTCCCTGCTCTACGGCCCCGAGACCTTTGTGCAGCTGGACCAGAGGCTGAGCCGCCTGGAGGAGCAATGTGTAGGCGCCCTGCGGGCCCAGGGCTTCCTCAGGTGGGTGTGCAGGCCAGGCTCTTGGAGCCCATGCTGGCTGAGGGCTCACACCCGCCCAGCTGCTCTGTGGCCAGGTTTGTAATCTGCCTTCAGACAAGGGAGCAGGTGGCTGCTAATAGGGGCTGGAGGAGGTGGGTCCCGGGCAGGCTTAGGGACCAGGGGCCCCGGTGAGCACCTCTGCTTGCCTGCTTGCTGGCAGGTCCCAGATCAGCACTGAGAGTTTCCTGCACCTGCGCTACCAGGGCACCGACTGTGCCCTGATGGTCTCTGCTCACCAGCACCCGGCCACCACCAGCTCGCCTCACGCCGGTGACTTTGGGGCAGCCTTTGTCGAGAGGTATGTGGGCTCTGTGTCCCAGGGAGCCTGGCGGGTGGCCTGCGGGACCCTGGCCACCTGCCCTGACCCTCCCGAGGTGCTGTTGGTGCTGCAGGTACATGCGAGAGTTCGGCTTTGTCATCCCTGAGCGGCCGGTCGTGGTGGACGACGTGCGGGTGCGGGGCACTGGCCACAGCAGCCTTCACCTCGAGAACACCCCCAAAACCCAGACCGGGCCTCCCCGGGTGGACAAGGTTGGTGGCCCCACCGAGGGCACGGGACAGGTGTGGATGGGGAGACCGAGCCACTGATGGGCCTAGGAGCTGTGCTTACCTTACATCCTCTGCAGATGACCCAGTGCTACTTTGAGGGGGGCTACCAGGAGACCCCCGTGTACCTGTTGGGAGAGCTGGGCTATGGGCACAAACTCCAGGGACCCTGCTTCATCATTGACAGCAACAGGTGTGCTGAGGCCTGGCCAGGTGGAGGCCACAAAGGGCTGAGGTCTGGGGTCGAAGTGGCTGGGCCGTGGCCTGAGGCTTCAGGCCTAGGGCCTCTGGAGCCCCCATGGTTGGGTGTCCCTTGGCCTGGACTGTGGGGCCCATGGTTGGAGGGTGGTCAGGCCTGGACCTTCCAGCCTCTTTGCATCCCCTGCCTCAGCACGATCCTGGTGGAGCCAGGCTGCCAGGCGGAGGTGACAGAGACGGGGGACATCCGGATTACCGTGGGGGCTGAGGTCTCCAGCACAGTGGGCACCCAGCTCGACCCCATCCAGCTGTCCATCTTTTCACACCGCTTCATGAGCATCGCGGGTGAGTACCCCCCCCCACTGTGGTCCTGGCCCCAGGGCCCAGTCGGCCCTCCCCGAGTTGTGGGATGGGGTGTATTTGGCATGTTGGCCAGAGGCAGGTGTAGGTGGTGTGGCTGACAGCACTGGCTCCAGTCACATGTGGTGGGCCAGCAGGGGTGTGCAAAGTAGGAATGAACAAGGATGCTCGTGGTGACGGTGGCCAGTGTGGCCCTGGAATGGCTTTGGGCCAGCTGGGTGTCCTTTTCTTACCGGCAGCCGTGTGATTTGGGGTCCCTTCTCGCTACAAATAGCAACTGAGGCTTGGTGTACTTGTGCAGGGTAGGGCTGGGGGCTCCAAGCATGGTCCACATGGGGGCACCAGGAAGGGAGGGAATTTCCATGGGGCACATGGTTCTTGCTGGATGCTCCAGGGTGGCAGTGTTGAGGAGGAAGTTGTGGGGTTTGGGTGAGGTCTCTGGGCCCTCCTGGGGGTTGTCTGCCATCAGTCAGACCTGACTCATAGCAACCCCTCCTTGGGTTTCCGAGGTGGTATCACTACGGAAGTAGATTGCCCAACTTTGTTTCCAAGGAGCGGCTGGAGGGTTTGACCTGCCAGCCTCTTGGTTAGCAGTCAAGTGCATTAGGTCCTATGCCACCAGAGCTTTTTTTTTTCCCTTTTGGTTTTTGGGGTTGTCTGGGTGACATTAGACATGCAGAATTAGTATAGGGGCTACAGCTTGGGCCAGGGATGGTCTATGATGCTGTCAGGTGGGGGGCAGGCTGGCTCCAGGGGTCCCAAGCCACTAGGCCTTTCCAGGGTCCACCACCACCTGGCTGAAACTTGCTACACACAGTGAGGTACTCCTGCTGTCTCTCAGGTCCTGGTCCTGAGGATCGTGCCTGCCCTTCAGGGTCAGGGCGTGCATCTCAGGGTTGGGGGCCTGTGGTGGGGTGGGTGGGGCTAGCAGATGCTGGTCACTTTGTGTCCCCAGAGCAGATGGGTCGCATCCTGCAACGCACGGCCATCTCCACCAACATCAAGGAGCGGCTGGACTTCTCCTGTGCCCTCTTTGGGCCTGATGGGGGGCTGGTCTCCAATGCCCCCCACATCCCAGTGCACCTGGGCGCCATGCAAGAGACTGTGCAGTTCCAGGTTCAGCACTGGCACCTGCCCCTCCCGCTGCCACTTCCCTCATCTCCTCCCCCTCCCCCTCCCTATTCCCCCTCCCGCCTGCCCCCTCCTTCATCTCTTCCCTGTCGGTCCCCTCTCATCTCTTCTCCCCTCCCTCTCCCAACCCCTTCCTCATCTCCTTACCCCTGACCCCCACGCCTGCCTTCCCATTTCAGATCCAGCACTTGGGGACTGACCTGCACCCTGGTGACGTACTGCTGAGCAACCACCCCAGCGCAGGGGGCAGCCACCTGCCGGACCTGACCGTCATCACGCCGGTGAGGGGCCCTGCCCACCACCCTGGGGCGTGCAGCCACCAACACATCTGACCATGCTCTATGTCCCCCAGGTGTTCTGGCCGGGTCAGACGCGGCCCGTGTTCTATGTGGCCAGCCGTGGGCACCACGCAGACATTGGCGGCATCACACCGGGCTCCATGCCCCCCCACTCCACCACCCTGCAGCAGGAGGGCGCTGTTTTCCTGTCCTTCAAGCTTGTCCAGGGGGGGGTCTTCCGGGAGGAGGGTGAGCGGGCAGGGCTCCAGTGGGGGGCGGGCCTTGGCTTGCTCTTGAGGGTGGGGAGGCAGGTTATTACCTCCTCCCCAGGCTGGTGACGTGAGCTCTGCTTGGCGCCAGAGAGACGAGTGTGGGAGGGGTGGGGCCTGTTCCTGGTGCCTGTGTCTCACACTGGGGGCTGCAGGCTCCAGGAGAGCTTCCTGGCCCAGGTCTGAGCCCCTGGGCAGTGGAGCGGCTGCAAAGGGCTAAAGGGGGCACTCTGATCTGCTGCTGATGCGTGGAGAAGAGGGGAATCTGAGGGCAGGCTGGGGGCTAGGGTTGGGGGGTGACCACAGCCATCCCAGACTGTGCCCAGACAGGAGGCCACGGTTGGAATCTGATGGGACTTGGGGGAGGGGAAGGGGTCAGGGTGGGGCAGCTGGATGGAGGTCCTGGCACAGACTGGGCTGCGGGGAAGCTGGGAACTTCAGTGACATGGGGGCATCAGGAAATACAGAGCGGGGCTCAGGAGGAGCCAGGAGCTCAGGGGCTCATCCCCTCTAGTTCCTCTGAGGTTGGAAGTGGAGTTGCCTGCCAAGGCCTAGAGGACACAGGGTGCTGGGGTATGGGAGACGGAGGGTGGAGGAGGTGGCTGGGGGTCTATGGGGCAAAGACGGGGGGCAGTAGGGAGCTAGTAAAGGGCCAAGATGGGGCACAGTACTCAGGCGGGGTGCAGGGGCACAGAACAGAGCACCAGGTGGCCTGGAGGGCAGCTCAGTGGTGACTCCCTGTCCATCCAGCGGTAACTGAGGCCCTGCGGGCACCAGGAAAGATCCCAGGTTGCAGTGGGACCCGGAACCTCCATGACAACCTGTCAGATCTCCGTGCCCAGGTGGCAGCCAATCAGAAGGGCATTCAGCTAGTGGGGGAGCTCATCGGGCAGTATGGTCTGGAAGTGGTACAGGCCTACATGGGCCACATCCAGGTGGGCTCCGGGGCAGGGGAGGGTGCTGCTTGGCCCCCACTGGAGGTGGCACTCTGACCTAGGCTCTCCCTGACAGGCAAACGCTGAACTGGCTGTGCGTGACATGCTTCGGGCCTTTGGCACTGCCAGGCAAGCTCGAGGGTTGCCCCTGGAGGTGTCTGCAGAAGACCACATGGACGACGGCTCCCCCATCCGGCTGCGAGTGCACATCAACCTGGGTCAGGTCAGGCCTGGGCAGTGCCCACGCGGGGCGGTTGTGGCCGGACTCGGCTGTTGACCACCCCCTATCCTGCAGGGCAGTGCGGTATTTGACTTCAGTGGCACCGGGCCAGAGGTTTTTGGCAACCTCAACGCCCCACGGGCCATCACACTGTCAGCCCTCATCTACTGTCTGCGCTGTCTGGTGGGCCGCGACATCCCACTGAATCAGGTGTGCGTGTGACTCGGGGTGCATGTGCACGAGGCTAGGGGCGAGGCCAACCTTGCAGCGGACTGACCCCCAGGGTGCTGGCGGGGACGTGTCTCTCCCTGATCCTAAGAGCGGGGCCACCCTCACGCGCCCCTAAGAGCCTCGCTCCTCAGGGCTGCCTGGCGCCAGTACGCGTTGTCATTCCACGAGGCTCCATCCTGGATCCATCCCCAGAGGCGGCCGTGGTTGGTGGCAACGTGCTCACCTCACAGCGCGTGGTGGACGTGATCCTAGGGGCCTTTGGGGCCTGTGCTGCCTCCCAGGTGAGGCCCGGGGGCGGGTCCGCTTCCCAGGGGTGGGTCCGCGTCCGCGGGGGCGGGTCCACTCACCAGCCTGTCCGCGGCTGCCTGCAGGGCTGCATGAACAATGTAACCTTGGGTAACGCCCACATGGGCTACTACGAGACGGTGGCGGGCGGCGCGGGCGCAGGCCCAGGCTGGCATGGACGTAGCGGCGTGCACAGCCACATGACCAACACGCGCATCACCGACCCGGAGATCCTGGAGAGCCGGTGAGGGCGCAGGCGGGCGGGACAGGGACCCGGGCAGGGAGCGTGGCCTCGCGTAGCACCCACGCAGCAGCCTGCGCCGCCCTCCGCCCCTCTCTCCTGCGCAGGTACCCGGTGGTTTTACGGCGCTTCGAGCTGCGGCCCGGCTCCGGCGGCCACGGCCGCTTCCGGGGTGGCGACGGTGTCGTCCGCGAGCTGCTCTTCCGCGAGGAGGCACTGCTGTCCGTGTTGACCGAGCGCCGCGCCTTCCAACCCTACGGCCTCCATGGTGAGCGGCGGCGCCGCGCCCCGCCCCTTCGCACCTCGGCGGGTCTCTGCTGCTCCGCCCCCGCCGGTCCCGGTTCCCGCCCCGACTCCCAGCCACCCGCACCTGCCTCTCCCCGCAGGGGGCCAGCCGGGAGCCTGCGGTCTCAACCTACTGATCCGCAAGGACGGCCGCACCGTGAACCTGGGCGGGAAGACGTCGGTGACCGTGAACCCCGGGGTAAGGGCCCCCGCCCCACAGAGTGCGCAGCGTTGCAACCACCGCCGGAGCCTAGTTTAATACGGCTGCTGAGGCAAAGGGCCCACGCACCAGGCCGAGGTCTGGGCGGCCAGGGGAGGCGGCGGCGTAGGTGGGGCGCTGAGCCACCCCTGCGCTTTCCAGGACGTGTTCTGCCTCCACACGCCCGGCGGAGGCGGCTACGGAGACCCGGAGGAGCCCGCCTCGCCGCCGGGATCGCCCCGGCAGGTGTCGGCCTTCCCCGAGCGAGGCAGTGTGTACGACTACCGCCGGGCCCAGGAGGCCGTGTGAGCGCCCCAATAAAGAGCCCTGGAGTCGGCCGTCCTGGTCAGGCCCGCGTGTCCATCCTGCCATCCCTGCGCGCCCGGGTCATCAAGTCGCTGACACTCGCAGCCGCAGACCCACAGCGAGGTGGTCCGTGAGCCCCGCCAGGGCGGTGCTGAAAGTCACCTGCTCCACTTCCTGGGGGTGGGAGTCAGGCTGAGGGGTCGCCCTGCCACCGGCCGGTGCCCCAGCACAGCGCCCCTTGCCACTCACCGGTGTCAGCGGGGACCCGCGCGTTCTCCGGTACAGGATGTAATCCAGGCGCCGGCCCCGCCAAGGCCCAGACGAGCGGTTTCCTGCCAGGTACCGGCAGCGGCCCTCCTCGTGCTCCAGGGCCCTGGCGGAGGGGCGGTGTTAGCATCGCCGGCGGCCCCTTCTCCCCCGCGCATGGCGCTTGGGTCCAGGTCTACCCGTCACCTGCGCAGCGTCTCCGGGGAGCTGGCCTCCGAGTCGTGGAGCTGGGCAGTGCTCAGCAGTGTCCCTGGGGGCGGGGTGGGACGGGGAGCGTAGCATCAGCGGGAGCCTGGCCTTCGGGCCCTCCGGGTCCGCCGCCCTCCTTGGTCGTACCCAGGGCCCAGGGCTGCTCCTGGCGCACTCCCAGCCGGCAGGGGTCGCGGAAGCGGCAGAAGAGCTGGTGCTTCTGCTCACGTGTGTCGCCTGCAGAGAAAGGCGGGCTCTGTGTGGACAGCCGGCCTGGCCCTGGCCCCGGGCCCCATCCCGGTCTGCGGCTCCATTCCCGTCCCATTCCTGCCCTGTTCCCGCCCAGGCCCCGCCCCCGCCCCCGCCAGGCCCGCTCCCTACTTCGCGAGCAGTTGTCGAAGTTCAGGTCCCCCAAGAGCACGCTGAAGGCGGCGGCATCGCCACCCCGACGGCTGTCGGCCTCAAACTCCTCGGCCCAGCCCAGCAGCAGCGCTAGCTGCTTGCATCGCACGGGCCCGTCCTCTGTGGGGAGAGAGGGCTTAGCCTGTGGTACGGATCTCATCCTGGACGCCTCTCCCCATCGGGTTCTGGGCGCTCATCGGGACTTCCGACGCCTCTGGGTGGTGAACCAGCAAGAGGGAGGCCGGCGGAGGTGCAGGCCCGCGATGGGACCCACAGCCACGGAGTGGGGCGGGGCGGCTCACCGCTGGGCGCTTGCAAATGCGTGCAGTGCAGGAAGCCCACCAGGCGGCGCCCGTCCACGAAACCCAGCTGCGCCTGCAACACCACGGACGGCCCAGCTCGCTGGCCCGTTTCGTCCCCACACTCGCCCCCCCCTCGGTCAGAGCGCAGCGCAGCCCGGGTTCCGTTACCTGTGCGGACAGCAGCCCTTTGGAGGCCAGCGCGTCCTCGCCGCGCCCATTGGGGAAGGAGCGGAAGACGGCGCGCAGCAGCGGGTAGCGCGAGGCCAGAAGCAACCCGCTGCCCAACAGTTTGAGGTGCCACCCGGGCCGCAGGCCGAGCGCGCCCACATCGTACAACACCGGGCCCAGGTTGGGCGCCAGGCGGCGCACGAGGCGGCGCGCGGCGCGCAGGTCGAACACTTCCTGCAAGCACACGAAGTCCAGGCCCGCGGGCACCGCCGCCACCAGCGTCCCGCGCGGCGTCTCGGCTTGCGGTGGGCAGCTGTCCGTGGCTCCATAGCGTGAGGCCCGCAGGCCGGCGAGCAGCGCGTCGCCCACGGCCTGGGCCCGCTGCTGGCTGTGCGGCAAGTTGCTGAAGCGCGCCAGCCCGTCGGGCAGCAGGCACAGGTTGGCGCTGAGGAAGCCGAAGCAGCGCGCGGGCTCAGCACGCGGATGCCAGGGCGCGGGGGGCGCCCAGGACTGCGGAGGGGGCTGGTAGCAGAAGGGACGGCGGCAGGCCTGCAGCGGCAGCCAGAGCAGCAGGCCCGGCAGCGCCAGGGGCAGGCTGCATAGCAGCAGCAGCAGTGCCGCGCCGGCGCCCGCCGCCGCGCTCAGCCTCCCCAGGCGGCCCGCGCGCGCTGCCGGTGCACAGCAGCCCAGGAGCTGGTCCAGGGCCCAGTAGGCCGGGAAGAGCAGCAGGCGAGCCAGGCTGTGGAGGGCGTGCAGCGCGGGGTGCGGGAAGGGAGAGGCCCGCAAGGCGCCAGGCGCCGGGGGCCACTCAGGCGGGAGGTCTTGGCGCGCTTGGCTGGTTGGCCGCGGGGCACCGGCGAGGCTCATCCGCTTCCAGAGTGCGAGGAGACTCCTCGTTGCGTCTGTGGGAAATGCAAAGAGAGCCACTGGGGTCAAGGCCACATGGCGCGGTCTGTGAGTGGGGCCAACGTCCTGTGCGCCCCGCCAGCCTGGAGGTTCGGGCGGCCGCGTTGGTCGAACGACGCGTCTGAAGGGGTCCTCTCCGGATGCGCGCGCGCGTTAACTTCGGCGGCCTTGGGCAAGAACCAAAGGGAAAGCGAAAGGGAGTCGGGCCTCGCGGCCCCGCCCCCCGCCTCGCGGCCCCGGCCCCGCCCCCGGCCCCGCGGCCCCGCCTCGTTGTCTCTCGAAGGCGGCGGGGAACCCCGCGAAGGGCGATCCTTCGAATGTGCTGCGTAGCGCTTGCCCTTCCCTGCCGCCAGTTGTCCTGGAAATGGCAGCCTCTCTCGCTGCCCAGACTGTGGGTTACACCCCGCGCCCAACACACCTTCTCCCGGGTCGTGGTGTCTGGTGCCTGAGTTCAACGACGCGACCCTAGAAACCGGGCTGGTCCTGAGCTCCCCAAAGGCACCGTGACCCTGCCCCCAGGAACTTCCAGTCGGCAGAGGAGGGACCGTTGGTTCCATCCGCCTTGTCAGCGCCCCTGCACCAGATCCCTCTCGCGGGGCGCTCCAAGGATTCCAGGATCCCAGAGCTGCGCGGGTCGGGCTGCCCCAAAGGCTGCTCGGTGGAGGCATCCTTTCTTGCTCTTCCAAGGGGCTGAGCGGGAGGCGCAGCCGTCAGAGGAGTTTTTAAAGCCGCGGAGAGCCTGCAGCTTCCGGGGGCCTCTGGGCAGGAGTCCTCCAGCACCTCACCCTCCCTCTTCTGCACCCCTGGCCGCTGATGTGGCCTGCCCTCAGGCTGTGGTGTCTGCTGGCTGTGGCCGGAAACCCCTGGCCCATCCATGGCAGCCTGTGCAGGCGTGGCCCCTCCCCTCTTCCCTCCCACGGGGGCTCCTTTTCCACCTGTGGGCTCCAGGCCAGCCTGCAGACTTTCTCCTACTAGCTTCCAGGGACACCCCACCATCACCTTCACTCCTCAGTTTCTTGCACCATTCACAAACCAAAAAACCAAACTCACTGCCATGGAGTCGGATCCGACTCATAGCGACCACTCCTTGGGTTTCTGAGGCGGTATTACGGAAGTAGATCGATTGCCCAACCTTCCCTCCAGGAGTGGGTTTGAACCACCAGTCTTCTGGTTAGCAGTCAGATGCCTTAGGCACTAGCCACAAGCCCTCCCTATCTGTCCCCAGGCTACCTCCCGGCCTCCCACCTTCCTGCCCCCCACTTCCCCTCTCCTCCCTGCCTTGCTGGCCCCTCTAGCCTGCCCTCCTCACCCTTGCAGCATGTGGGGCCCACCCTCACAGCTCAGAGTTCCCACCCTCGGTCTGAATTCCCCGTTCTGGGACCCCAGTTGCCTTGGTAAGGGACACCACCATCCTGGGCTGTCCCTGCCTAAGTTTGGATGTGGCTACTTTTCCCCGCTCCCCTACTGGTACCCCCTCTTCCTGGCCCCTCCTTGGGGGCCGTCCCTGCCTAGTCAGGTAGGAGGGTCTCAGCTCTGCACGCCCAGCACTCTCAGTGGCCAGGCACAGAGCTGCAGCCTTTTGCTGCCAGTTCCTTCCCGTCTTCTGCTCTTCTCACTACAAGTCTCCGCACGCTCTGCCCCCACCGCCAGACGACGGGAGAGAGTCTTGGGGTAAACCTGAGTCTCGGGGCTCTCATGAAAGGAGGCAGGACCGAGGGGCGCCGGGGAGCAGTGGTGACCACCCCAGAGGATCCAGCACCACGGGCCCTGGGGCATGTGGCCGGGGTGCTTTAATGGCTGCGCCCAGGCATGGGGAAGAGTGGGCCAGCTGGCGCTGCCGTCACCAGATGAACATGGGTTTGCCGTCGTCATGAGCCAGCTGGCTGAGGCAGGAGAGCAGTAGCAGTGCGTCGGTAAGCATGTTGGGGTGCACGGTCTCCACCAGCACGCGCTGCAGGAAGTCCACCGTGTAGGCGCTGCCCTCCGAGGCGGCCAGCTCAGGCCGCTCGCGCAGGATGCCGTAGGCATTCACCAGCTGTTCTGTCAGCGCCGGGTGCACCCGCCCGTTGTAGCCCAGGCTTTGCAGCCGGTTCATGACGCTCACGTAGCGCTGTGTGAGCGTCTGACACATGTCCTCATCCAGCTTGTGGTCGTTGGGGTTCATGGAGGCCTGCAGGAACATAGCCATCAGGGCCTCTCCTGCCCACCTGGACTGTGGGGGCAGGGCCGCTGAGAGGGAGCCTGTTGGGTGGGAGGCTCCCACAGCTGCCCAGCAGGGTCTCAGTCCAAGGAAAATGGGCTAGCCCTTCCCTGTCCCTGATTTGGGGCCAAGCTGGGGCCTCGGGAACAGAAGAGCGACTGTGGCTGCAAGTGACTGCGGCAGCAAAGAACAGTGCTGGGGGCAGGGGCTCATAGTGCCATTCAGGGCCCCCAGGGTGCCTGGCCCAGGAGGCACCCTGCTCCTCAGCCTTCTCTCCGGGTCCCTCTTCGGTCACCTTGGGCTCCCTCAGCGGCTGCTCTGATTCACACACACACACACACACACACACACACACACACACTGAACTGACAGCCTGGGGCAGGAGCTTCCTCGAGCTCCCCACCGCCCCTCACCTGCGGGCTTCTGGTCCCAGCCTGGTACCTGGCAGCACCTGTGCTGGTCCCTGCCCACATCCTCACCACCTATGTCCCCCACAGCCAGTGGCTTCTCTCCGGGTCCTCCCTCCCTTCAGTCTCCCCAACTGCTGCCCAGACAGTCCGTCCCCTCGGCCACTCTCAGAAGGCCCTGTACTCAGCTCAGTGCTCAGCTGCCACGTCTGAAATTTTTTTTGAACAAGAAGACACTGTTATCAAGTTGATTCCAATTCATAGCAACCCTCTAGGATAGGGTTAGGGAGCTCTGGTAGCATAATGCCTAAGGCACTTGACTGCTAACCAGAAGGCTGGCGGTTCAAACCCACCAGCCACTCCTCGGAAGGAAGATGGGGCAATCTACTTTCGTAGTGATACTGCCTTGGAAACCCAAGGAGGGGTCGCTATGAGTCGGGTCCGACTCGACAGCACATAACAACAACAACAACAACAGGATAGGGTAGAACTGCCCTGTGAGGTTTAAGGTTTCCAAGGCTTCAAATCTTTCCAGAAGCAGACTGCCTTGTCTTTCTTCCGAGGAGCAGCTGGTGGGTTCAAACCACCGACCTTCTGGGTAGTAGCTGAGCGCCTCAGCTGCGGCATCAGAGCACGTTATTTTTGAACCAGAGCCCCACATTTTCCAGCACACTGAGCCCTGTGAATTATGTGGCCTGCTGTGTGTGTAGGTGGCCCTGGCTTTCGGGGTTCCTGTTTGTGTGGCTGACAGACAGTGGGTCTGAAGTCCTCACCAGCCAGGCCTCTCCCCACTGCTCCAACTCCCTAGCAGGGCTAGGGGTGGCCTGCAGAGTCCCCTGATCCAGCCTCTCCAAGGTGTCCCCACACCCCTACCATGCTTTTTCTCTCCCTGCTGGGAATGTGTTTCCCCTACTGCCTGTTGTCCAAGGCCCTCAGCATCACCTCCGCCCCCCGCCTCCAGCTGGTGCTCGCTGAGCCATATGGATGGAGCACCCGGCCCTGAGCCCTGGGCGTGGGGACCCTGGGTAGCAGCGGTGGCTGCCCCCCTGCTGCTTCAGGGCCCTGTGCCCACTGCTGCTGCCACCTGGTCAGCCACCCGAGGACACGCCAGCTCCCGGGCTCCTCAGGGCCTCTGAGATTTCTCCCCATGACTTTCAGTCCCACACTGCGGCTGGCCAGACCTCAGGAGCTCAGTGCACATTTGTGGGTCTACAACCTGTGATGCCTGGACCCATCAAGCAGAGTGCGTAACATTCCCTGTTTGCAGCTCTGACAAAGAACTGAATTTGGACACAAGCTACAACATGGATGAACCCAGGAGTGTTCAGTGAAACAAACCAGATGCAAAAGGGTGAGTATTGTGAGATCCCAGTTGGGTGAGGTATCTAGAACAGCCAAGTGCATAGAGGCAGAAAGTAGATTAGAGGTTACAGGGGCTGAGGGTGGGGAGCAAAGAGAGGGTGCAGGGTGCAGTGAGTTACTAAATATGGCTCTGCCAGCCATGGTCTTTGTGACTCTCATCAGAGACTGGGTGGGACTATGCAAATGTGAGGTGCTGTGGCCACCAAAGGAACTGGATACATCGCTAATAACGTAAACAAGGTACATGGCATCCTTGTTGCAGTGGGACCACACAAATGAGGCCTATGGAACCCTAACGTGGGGACTGGACAGTTGTGCCACCTCACTGGGTTTAAAATGAGCCCTCCCAGAGATGGGAGGCGGGAATCTCACTGCCATCAAAAAAGAACCAGGAGTGGAGCACATCCTTTGACCTGATACCCTTGTGCTGACACAAGTGACAGACACGGCAGTAGCAGAGGCAACACACCCAAGAAACCAGCATGAGACAGAGGGGAGGGTTTTCTGGCCACCGAGTGAGAAAGCTGAGTGCCTTCGGCAGGAGGCTTGCCAGTGGAGTGGGTGCCCCTGGGTACCTATTGGAATAGCTAAAAGAGCTTTGTGACACTTGCGTGAGCAGGGCAGAGGCCAAGGGGCTGCAGGGCAGAGAGGCTGAGACCAGAGGGAGGCGTGCCTGCGACGGGGGTGAGAAGAGGCTGGCCTGATTGAAGAACTGTATCCGGAGTTGTTTGCTGATGCCAAACTGTAACCTGTTACTTCCCTAATAAACCCCATAATCATGAACATTGTGAGTTCTGTGTGGCTGTTGCAGCAAATTACCAACCCAGCAGAGAAGTAGAGAGACCATGGGAGGATGGTTGGTGTCAGCGTTGGTAAAAAGGTTGGAGGATGGTGGCGCTTCTGACCTTGGCCTGATAGGAACCAGCTTTGGGCTGTTGGTATTAGGTCTGGATCCTCCTTCCCCCTTGGGAAGTTAGAGGTTAAACAATGCCACCACCACCCCTTTCTGCAGGGAGTTATTGTTTAAGGGGCACAGAGTTTCTGTTTGGGATGATTAAGTACATTCACCCAATGGTACTGTACCTAATACCACTCAGGTGTACCCTTAAAAAGTGGTTAAAACAGTACATTTTATGTTCTGTACATTTTATCAAATGATAGAAATTTACAAGATGAATGCCTTATACATTGCAAATGCCTTTTTCCAACAACATAAATACACATGGATTTCACCAGGAGGAATTCACAGGAATCAAATAAATGATATCTGTGGAAAGAGAGCATGGAACAGACTTTCAATTGCTCAGATGAAAGTTCAAGTTGAAGCTGAAGAAAATTAAAACAAGTCCATGGCAGCCAAAATATGACCGTGAATATATTCCACCTAAAGTTAGAGACCATCTTAAGAATAGATTTGATGCATTGAACACTATTAACCAAAGAAAGACCAAATGAATCATGGGAGGACATCATCCATGTAGAAAGCAAAAGTTCATTAAAAAGACAGAAAAGAAACAAAAGGTCAAAATGGATGTCAGAAGAGATTGAAATGGCTCCTGAATTAGAGTAGCCTAAAGCACTTGATTGCTAACCAGAAGGCTGGCGGTTCAAACCCACGAGCCACTCCTCGGAAGGAAGGTTGGGCAATCCTCCTTCTGTAGTGATACTGCCTCGGAAACCCAAGGAGGGGTTGCTATGAGTTGGGGCTGACTTGACGGCACATAACAACAACAACAACAACAAGCAAATGGGAGAAACAATGAAGTAAAAAGACTTGAAGAGAAGATTTCAAAGGGCAGCTGGAGAAAACAAAGAAAGTATCATAATGAAATATGCAAACACCTGGAGTTAGAAAAGCAAAAGGGAAGAACATGTTCAGTGTTTTTCAAGCTGAAAGGACGGAAGAAAAAATTCAAGCCTCAGTTACAATATAGATTCTGTGACATGGCTTCCGGCCAAACAATCTAGACAGGCAGATGGGGTGAACAGTAGACAGGCAGATAAGGTGGACATTCACACCAGGGAGGTACACTCCTTAGAACAATCAACCATGGTGGCACAGGGAGATAGCTCAGGGGACAGGAATGCTTATGAAAGGATGACACAGGGAAGAGGTAACTACATGGAGGAAGTGGGAAGAGAACTGTTGCATTGTGGGGATTGTAGTCAATGTCATGAAACAAAATGTGTATGAACTGCTGTATGGAAAATGAATTTGCTCTGTAAGCTTTCACCCAAATCACAATAAAAGTTAAAAAAAAAAAATAAAAGGACTCTACGAGCAAAATGTTGAACAATGCAGCAAGCATCCAAAGAAGGTGGAAGGAATACAGTCACTGTACCAAAGCTACATTCAGCCACTTGAGGAGACAGCGTATGATGAGGAACAATGGAGCTGAAGGAGGAAGTCTAAGCTGCACTGCAGGCATTGGCCAGAAATTGATGGAGTACAACTGAAATGTTTCAACAAACTGACGCAATGCTGGGAGGGTACACTTGTTTATGCCAAGGAATCTGGAAGACAGATGCCTGGCCAACTGACTGGAAGGGATCCATATTTGTGCTCATTCCAGAGAAAGGTAATTCTACAGAATGCAGAAATTATCAAACAATTAATATCACACACAAGAAACATTTTGCTGAAGATAATTAAAAAATGGTTGCAGCAGTATGTTGACAGAGAACTTCCAGAAATGCAAGCTGGATTCAGAAGAGGACATGGAATGAGGGATATCATTAGCGATGTCAGATGGATCCTGGCTGAAAGTAAAGAATACTGGGAAGATGTTTACCTGTGTTTTATTGACTAAGTAAAAGCAGTTGACTGTGTGGCTCATAACAAATTATGGATAATATTTTGAAGAATGGGAATTCCAGAACACTTAATTGTGTTCATGAGTGACCTGTATATAGACCACGAGGCTGTCATTTGAACAGAACAACAGGATACTACATGGTCTAAAATCAGGAAAGATGTGTGTCAGAGTAGTATCCTTCACCATACTTATTCAATCTGTATGCTGAACAGATAAGCCAAGAAGCTGGACTATATAAAGAAGAACATGCATCAGAATTGGAGAAAGACTCATTAACGACCTGTGATATGCAGATGACACAGCCTTGCTGAAAGTGAAAATGACTTGAAGCATTTATTGATGAAGATCAAACACTGTAGCCTTCAGTATGGATGACAGCTGAACATAAAATAAAAAGCTTATTGGGTTATCAAAAATAACAGATATCAGTCTATGGGGGATACATAGGTAGACAGGCTAAACAATCAGGTATGTCTAGGTAAAAGGGAATATATCCATGACCATATATAAGTTTCGTAGATGATACTTCTACACATGTATTTATATGTGCTATAAGAATGTCCATATATATAATAGAGCTAACAAGGCAGAGTTAGGCTAACTTCTTAGCCACAGCAAAACACCTTGAGGGAGTGAGTCGTTAGGTCCATGGTCTCAGGACCATGGTCACAGGGGACATCAAGCTCAACTGGCCTAACATACTACAAAAAACATTGTCTTACAGCTTACTTTGGTGAGTACCAACTGGGGTCTTAAAAACTTGTAAGCATCCATCTAAGATAAAACAATTGGTCTCTCCTCATCCAGAGCAAAGAAGAATGAAGAAAACCAAGAGCACATGTAAACCAGTAATCCAAGGGACCAGTGGACCATGCAAACCTCAGCCTACATGACTCCGAGACCAGAAGAACTAGATGGTGCCTGGCTACCACTGTCAACTGCTCAGAAAGGGATCAGTGAAGGAGATCCTGGATAGAGTGAGAGAAAAATATGGAACAAAGCTCAAAATCATGAAAAAAAAAAAAAAAGAAAGAAAGAAAGGAAAAGACCTGGCCTTCTGGTCTGATAGAGACTGGTGAACCCCCTGGAATGATGGCCCCTAGTCAGCCTTTGGGCCTGTAAAAATGAACTCAGTCCTGTGGCTTCCAGCCAAACAGCAGACAGGCCTAAAAGGTGAACCTTTACACCAGGTGGATACACTCCTTAGAAACAATCAACCATGGGAGATCAGAAGGGCAGCATTTGCACAGGGGGATAGCTCAGAGGGCACAGGGAGGAAGTGGGAAGAGAGCTGTTACATTGTGGGGATTGCAATGTCATGAAACAATCTGTGTATGAACTGTTGAATGGAAAATGAATTTGCTCTATAAACTTTCACCTAAATCACAAATCCTCATAAAGACAATCTGTCAAAAAGCCTAGAACACACATCATACTTAATGGTTAGATTAGAAGCATTCTTACTAACCTCAGAGAAGTAGGATGGAGCTGCCAGCTCAGATCTGCTCCCAGCAAATACTATACCCATGAAATCAGACAACTTAAGATATGATGTGATAAAGAAATGAAGACTCAGAAGAGAGTTTAACTCTCATTTGTAGACAATATGATCGTCTACACAGAAAAAGCAAGACAATATACCAGTTATTAGAACTCGTGAAAGGATTTGGCAAGTAGCTGGATACCAAATAAATACACAAAAATAAAAACGTTCTCAATAGGCTGGTGAGTGGACTCCAGAGAGGCTGAGAGGGTGGCATGGCTTCAGTCAGACCCAGTCACTGAGGTACCACCCACTGCCCACATACTGCCCTCCCAGTCACCCTCCAGGGACACAGCATTGGGATGCCAAGAGGAGTAGGGTTTGGAGCATCTCACACTAGAACAGAAAATCTTTGCAACTGGATAGAAGAGCTGACAGGCATGAGCACTGGGACAGCTTATAGTTATGCGTAAAAGATGGCACAATCGCCTGTGAAGTGAAAAAAAGGTGAGTTCCATGGAGAAAGTCAATAGTGCTCACGGGGTAAGCAGAGTCTGTTCACTTTCTCCAGGCTCGTGATACCAAGCTATGCCGCACTCGTGGAGCCCATGACCCAGATTCGGACAATGCCTGGTGCTCTGGGTTGGTTTGTAGCCACCCAACTTGTGCCACTTTGCTATGGCAGCCCTCGGAAATTAGCGCAGTTTTGTTGTCTCTCCCCTAAGGAGCCGCATCTAGTTCTCTGACTGTTAATTCCACGGCATGGCCAGTAACAACACACGAGAAGTGAAAGGAATCTTGTGAAAGAGCGAGGCCTCTTTCACTAGGACGGGTCCTGAAAGACACCAGATATCCTCCCCGCTCCAGTGACATAGGCGGCGTGCAAGCAGGGCAAGGACGGAGAAGCAGACCACAGTCTCACAGACAGCGGTAGATGTGCCTGGGGAACCTCCTGCCCGGGCCTGCCCCACCCTTCCCTGCCGGCCCTGAGCTCTGGAGGGCTGACTCAAAAAACCACACCAGTGGGTCCTGGCATCTGCTTGAACTCAGCCCCTGCGGCCCCAGGAGCTGGAAGAGGAGCAGTGGGGCTCCCTCCCTGTGGGGTCACCATGGGCTGGCTCTGCCCCTTGGGTAAAGGTCTCAGGTCTTGCCCACAGGGCCTTGTCCGCCCTGCCTCTGTCTCTAGTCTTGGTCACCCTTCTCCTTGTCCCCTCAGTCCACCGGCCACGGTGCACTCTCCTTGGGGGCACCTGTACCAGCTCTGCTCCCTTGGTCCTGGTTGAGTAGTTCCTGTGTCCTGCCTGACTCTGGTGCCAGGACTGGGTGTCTTAGGTGGGGAGAAGCCGTCCCCACCGCACGCCATTCACAGCGATCATGAACTTGTGAGTCAAAGATGCAGCAGAGTAAGCACTGAACTGCGTGCTTTCAGAGAGAAACGCAGACTCGTTCAGAAGAGGGAAGCTACAGCACTGGGAGCAGCTTCTGGGAGGGAGGGCTTCCGTAGCAAGATGGGGGAGTACAGACCAGAGAGGTTCCTATTCCCCACTGAATCGGAAACCGGACTACAAAGGACTCCTCCTCAAAAGGGAGAGGTGCTTCCCACCGGCTGCCAGTCAAACCTCGGAACCCAAAGTGCACTAGACTACTGCCTTCAGGGCTCCCTAAATGACACACCCACTGCCTGGAGTCCATTCTGAC